CGTAAGCAAAAATAAATCAGCTGTTCGATAAACTCTATTTCAAAAATATGTTCGTATTCGACTTAGAAACACGTATCGAGGAACCGTGATTCGCTCGTGTGACTGCTTGTCTGTAACTATGTAACATAGTTAAACACAATTTTTTGACAATGCTGAGGAGTCTTGCGCAACAGAAACTCCTTACAGAAATTAAAACAAACATAAATTGTAATTTGTAACATTGTAACACTGAAAATAATTTACAGACGTGTAAAATCAGCAACATGCGTTATGGAACATATTCATCATATGAAATGAAACTACATATAAGACTTGAGATGCACTTCTGTTGCATAAATCGAAAAGATTCGAAAATACGCAAAATATTGCTTTACCGAATTATAATCCATAACGGATAAAAATTTATTTTATTTTTCATAATTATATTTCTTATCAGAACAGATTTGTCTGACTTTGTTAAACGAGTTTATATACTTCATATTATTAATAATGAAAGTAATAAGTATAAGGTAAGTAAAAATCCGGTATATTTATGGGAGTAAAATTTTGCATACGAGATGCATACGTATAATTATATATACAAGTATAAACAAATTGTCATTGAAATAAATAAAAAAGCCCATCATTAATCTGCAATAATGTTGTCTTGCGATGCACTTAATCTTCCTTTGATCGAACGGAAATTAGATTAGCCACTGATTGCTGCTTAAAGGCGCGCCAATAATAAAGGCGCTCTGAAAGCACGCATTACTTTGGATGCCGTCCGACACATTAATTTCTCTCGATTAGCTTTTGAGTAGCACGACACGGCAATGGCGTGAATGTACATGCAAAATAAAAACCTCGACATTAAATAGTCGGTCGGCACTCGGCATATGCGGTTCTGATATATTTATCGTTTACTTCGATCACAAAACGCGGTAAAATCTGTTTTTTTTTTTTTTCCGTCTTGAAAGTCCCCGACGATAATAAATTGCATGCTATCAGGAACGTACACGTGGTGCACCGGAAATTCTTTTATTCACCGTGACTATATATATATATATATAAGATTATATATTATATATTTTATTTATTATTTTATAATGTAATATATGTATTATATATTATTTTACTTGCTAAATATATGGAGAATATTTTTTGTGAACCTCAAATCATTCAATTTATACTTTTCTATTTTAAAAATCCGTTTTTATAAGAAGATAGAACAAAGGGACGAATTAAGAATGGGATTAAACAAACAAGTTGAAGGAAGATAATTAGTCGGCGAGATAATTTACAAAAAAAAAAAATTTTTTGCGCATCTCCGATATTTCCGTAATCTAATTAAGTATCATTTGAAACAAGAAGAGGAAGAGAGAGATATGAAATCATAATAGCTTTAACTTCTGGCGCAATTACACTTATGTGAGTTTTGAGCGCTTTAAGAGACGAAATTGTATGTTTTTAGCTGCGTATTTCGACATTTAGGAGATAAACTACCTCCTTAAAAAAATCAGTTTTTTTTTTATTTCTAAGCTAATACCAACGGTAAAAGATATAAAAAGTGTTTCAAATAAAAGTTATATGGTTTGAAATGTTTATGGTTTTTATTCGTTACAAACATGATGATTGTGAAAGAAATGTTTTATACAAAGAGATTTTTCTTGTTGATTTTCCTTGATTGGCTCTACTTTTTTTACTTGAAACATATTTTCTTATTTTAATTTACATAAATGTAAATTACTTATTGTTACACAATTGTTACACTATTGTTCTACAATATTTAAATATAAAAAGATAAAGATTTTAATGTCTAAATTTTAATTACTTTTTATATTTAAATTTTTATATTTATAAATATATAAATTGTTATAAATTTAATTATCAAATATATATATACATATATATTTATTTATATAATTATAAATTATCAAATATAATATACATACATAGATTGTAATATATAAATTTTTTATCGATAATTCATTCTTCTTGGCAGATATCGAAGGAAAGACGGTTATCGAGTGTCTGTCAGATACAAATAGAACGCATATAATGTCATTTCTAGTTTATTTCTGATAAATGCGTTGTTGGAATACAACTTGGAATTTTATTCCGAAAGTCTGATCAAGTCATATTTTAAAACGACACAATATCTGCAAAAATATTATAAATGCGTAAAGACTAGGTATAAATTAATTTAAAAATTTTTAAATCACATTTATTTTAAAATTCTTTAAATGACAGAATATTATTTTAAATGCTTCAAAAAGCAATTTTTTTGCGTAATGTCTTCTAAATATATTTTTCGCCAAGTTTTTGCAAAGTTCCTTTTTGTACGATGTGTCCATCAAATAAAAGAAACAAAAAGTTTATGTATAAGAGTTTTAACAAGGCTCTGTAATATAAATATAAATTAACGTATAAGACGGGCAACAAGAGCCAAATCGCGGATGACAATGCGTTATCCTAACGAAACTAAATAATTTTTCGTTTAGAATTAAATACCGGTGCACAAGGCACCAAATTTTACTTGGACACGGCCAAGATTTTAAATATGAAATAATCTCATATTTGAGATTTAATTTCAATACCCCTTTTAACCCCCCACGGAAATTGACGTTTCCGTGGGGGGTTAAAAGGGGTATTGAAATTAAATCTCAAATATGAGATTATTTCATATTTAAAATCTTGGCCGTGTCCAAGTAAAATTTGGTGCCTTGTGCACCGGTATTTAATTCTAAACGAAAAATTATTTAGTTTCGTTAGGATAACGCATTGTCATCCGCGATTTGGCTCTTGTTGCCCGTCTTATACGTTAATTTATAAAAAAGTTTATGAATAAAAAAACTTACCTTTAAGCATATCCTCTGAAATTGCTTGCACGTGGAACTAAAATTCTCAACGTCCAGCTAATAGTTACATTTTTCAAAATTATTAAAATAATCTCGGTAAGCAAATCCTTTATCGTAACTATTATTTATGTGACAAAAATATATATAATAAACACAAATACAATATAAAAACAACTTGCAGTTTGAGTTTTTTTTAATGACTCGATTGATTTTCTATGCACTAACGCACGAGGCTTAGTGTGTCGTGGACAGCCATAGACTAAGAATTACCAAATACCTCATAAAGTGGTAGGGACAAAGGAAAAAGATAAAATAAATATTTCTTTTATCTTTTATTCGTGTTTCCACAATAATACTACTTCGGCCGTACCCTGGAAATTTTTGGTCTAGCTTTTTATTAGTGGAAAAAATTCATTTTTTTTTGTGTAATTTTCAGGTCTCGTTCTATTGTTTGCATTATATTATAGACTATGAATTATCTGCGTCATAAAATAATAGCAATTTTTGCTTGCACCTAAGTTATTTCTATTACAACTTTATGAATACTTTTTCCTTAATATTATTTTAGAATTGTTTCTATTCCTGCAACGAAATTTAGTTATCTCTAAAATTTCTCCAAATTATCTTTCTATGTTTTTGATAATGTTCATAACCATAATAATTGCATATTAAAAATCATATTTGTTCTGTTCATAAAATTTAAAATGTACAATATATTAAGTATGACCAGTTTCTCACAACGAAACATTTAATCGATATCATGAAATATAAGCAGCAATTATTTTCGAGACTTTAAAGTAATGTTTTAATTTTTGTAAGTGAATACATAAGTTTGCGTGTGTAAATATTTAAAAATAATTTTATTATTATTAATGCATATTTTTTTAGAAATCTTATTTTAATGGTTTATTTTGTTTTGTTGAAAAATATCTATTTTCATCGATAAGAGAAAAAAACGTATCAAGTTGTGACTAATGTACATCTAATAGAGATTCATCGAATGTCCGATAAGTGGTAGGGACAAAAGAAAAAGATAAAATAAATATTTTTTTATCTTTTACTCGTGTTTCCACAACGATACTTCTTCGGCTGTACCCTGGGATTTTTTGGTCTAGCTTTTTTATTAGTGAAAAAAAATTCATTTTCTTTGTATAATTTTCAGAGCTCGTTTTATTGTTTGCATTATACCATAGACTATGAATTATTTACTTAGATAGCCACAGTAATTATTATGACATCATTTTGACATCAAAATGTTTGTCACATTTTGATGTCAAAATGATGTCATAATAATTACTGTGGCTATCTGGGTACGTCCTAAAATAATAGCAATTTTTGCCTACATTTAAGTTATTTCTATTACAACTTCATTAATCCTTTTTCCTTAATATTAAATTAGAATTGATTCTATTTCTGCAAAAAAATCTAGTTACGACTAAAATTTCTCAAAATTATCTTTATTTTGCTATGTGTTTTTTATAATATTCATAGCCATAATAAGTGTATACTAAAAATCATTTCTTTTTGTTTATAAAAAATTGAAATGTACAATATATTAAATATGACAGTTAGTCACAGCGAAACTTTCAATCAATATTATGAAATAAAGGCAGCAATTATTGTTGAAACTCTAAAGAAATGTTTTATTTATTGTGTGTGAATACATAAATGTGTGTGTCCGGGTGTGTCTTTGTGTGTGTGTGTGTGTGTGTATGTGTAAATATTTCGAAATTATTTTAATGTTATTAATCATACTTTTTTGGACATCCAAAACATTTTAACACATCATTTTATCACATTTCCTTGTCAGAATATAAGCTTCTCTAAATATATTAGTTGAGGAATTTTATAAAGATACTGCTTCTTTTGCAAGATACTCTAGATAATTTTACAATCATTACCTTCTGAGAGATGGGTATCAAATAGACCAATACTTTTTAATTTTAATCTGAATTTTAATCTAGGCCGTCGTAAAAATAGCAGACACAAAACACACACATACACACTTTTGTATCATCCAAAATATTATAATATTTACGATTACTTAATATTTCGCGAACGACTGCAGCATAATCTGGATAATGTTTTTCTAGCATTTTGTTTGGCACATAATGAGTACCTTTTTTACAGAAAAATTTTTCAATATCTGGATTATCCCTTTTCAATATATGGTTTATCCATTCTTTGTATGTCGATGTTATAACACCTAAAATAAAAATGTAAAGATAAAAAATTAAGTATCAAATTTATTATACGATGTAACATAAATAATATAAATGAAAATATTACAGAATATAGAAATATAATGTATAATAAAGCATTTAAAATAATAATCGTACATTGTGGAACATAAAACACCAGGTTATATTCATTTAACAACACGTAGTATGGTTGCAATTCCCAATCTTCGATGTTATATTTTTGTATACATTCTTGTTTAATATCGTTGTAAGTACAATATAATCTCTTATATGGAGAGCATGGAATGTGGCCTTTGTTGTGCCACCCAATAATGACACCAGAAGGATTTATATATGTATTATCTCGCATTTTATACTTATGTGTAACTATCATTCCAATCGCATATTTTAGATTAGGTGATCTTTTTTTCCGAAACGTATCAGGTGCAATACATATTTCCTGAAAAATTAGTATAGTTAATGTTCTCATATAGATTACGTATTTTATATTAATGAAACAATTTGAATTAAAAATAATTATAATTAGTAAAATTGTTTAGTCTTCTTTGAACTAATCTTTTGTTAGCAAAAAACCTATTATTATTTTACTTGAGTTTGCACGGGAACGGCCAAGCACCCAAACCGGCACTGTCTTTCTCGGACTCGATCCTAAGATTTTTTTGCCTATCATTTATATTAGTGGAAAAAATATAATGGCCGAATTCCGTAGAGTGCATATACACGCATTTATTTATAATACGTTACGTTTACTATAGAAAATAAGTGCACATGCACTTTACCGAAATCCAGTTAATAGTAGCCACCAATAAATATAGATGTATAGAAAAGTATAGAGCTGCTCGTTATATATATGTATTTTTTCCCTTTTTACATTGTATATTTCTTTTATTTATTACACAGAATTTGTATGTTTTTGTTCTGTACACATAGATTGTTTGCGTTACAAGTATGTTAAAATATTGCGGATTTTGTTAACACAATTATCTATTTTTCACTATTTAAATTGCGCGTAGATCGGTATATAATATATTACATACATTTTTTGTATTGTGCGTCTAAACATGATAAGTCATCATATATTAATTTCAAATTTCTGCTGTGAGAGTTCACTATCAGCAATATCAATAATATTCATCTAATATAAAAATGTATTTATTATTGTACATATCTGTTAAATGTACATATTATTGATATTAAAAAAAAGTTATTTACTTATTAATATATAATATTAAGTATTAACAAATTAATAATATTTTATTAAATGGCTGTCCTTCCTGTACCAAAGTTTATCGTTCAAAAATAATATAAAAACGATATAGTATTTTGTTTTAAATATTTCTTAACACATATATATAATTATATTTTTCATAAAATAAAATAAAAGATAAACAAAATTTATTTAATTGTTATTGTTAATAAAAATTTACAATTAAAAAAAGATATCCTAAATCAGTCCATAATAAATTCAAAATCAATAATTGAGCAAGCTTCAAAGCTGGCTATATTTCGGACATTCTGTAGATGTACCAAATTGTGACAAATGTCCAACTAATGGACGTTCATCGAATGTCCGATAGACCTTATTTGGATTGATTAAGAATATCTCAATGTCTAACAACGAATATTCTCCGGACGTACATTAGACATTTTTGTGCTGTCAGAGTATAAATATATTAATTTCCGCGAAATTGTTTTTTTCATAACTGAATGATAATTTATAACGCTTTTATTGATCATAACGTCTGTGTTCAAGAGGCTATATAATATATGTATCTCCAGAAGTCAGAGATATCGAAAAAAAACTTTTGGATGTTTAATAGTACTTATTATTGGAGATTGCTTAAAATTGTAAATGGAAAAAAGAGAAAACAGGCTTTAACAAAAGTAATCAATGAAGAAGACAGCTTTGCGGAGATTAATATACTCATACCCAGATGGCACAAGGATGTCTAATGTATGTCCAGTGTACTCTTTCTAAAAATATTCTAATAAATATTCCAAAAATTGATACAACAATGGATCTCATACAAACATTAGTACGTAGATATATATTCGATTAAATGCCTTGTGAATCCTGAGTCGATTAAACTTTTCCAATAAACACAAGCACAATAGTTTTCGCTCTTTATTAGCAATTTATTTCTCAAATAAACAATGTTTTGCTATAACTAAAAAAAAAAGAGAAAAAGAGCAAAAACTGTAGTGTTTGTGTTTATAGAAAGAGTTTAATCGACTCAAAATTCACAGAGCATTTAATCAAATATATATTTAGAAGAAATAAATAATGTTTCTGCCGTTAAAAAGCTGTTTCACTAATTACAGTCAAGTTACTGTCGGTACAGCTCGACGTAATCGTTCGCTATTAGTTCCTCTATCTGCTCCCTACGGTACCGTTTGTACACGTAAAACAACGCCATAAACACCACGAAGAGGAGCATTATAATGCATAAGGCGACGCTTATCCAGACCGCTCCAACTTTCTCGGTCTCTATCTTCTGCGGTATCATGGCCGAGCAGTGGTCGAACAGCTCGTACGTCCGATTGCTGAATCTTACGTTGGCGCAGGTCTCGTTCAAAGCTGCCGGTGACTCGGTACATTTGTAGAGATCGTCTGTCTTTATCTTGATCTGCCGCAGCTTCACCCATGCGCTGAACTTCTGACAATCGCAGCTGCTCCCGTTGAATCTGATCCTATTACTGGTCAGGTCAAGGTCCTTCAGCGAGCAAAACGGCGCCAGATCCTCGGTGCTGATCGAGGTGATTACGTTCAGATTAAGGAGGGTTGGCTGGACGCCTATGTTCGGGATCACGGATAGCAAGTTCCCATTTAGCTACAGCACTCTGAGAGGCGATGTGACCTTTACCTTGAACACGGAATCGGGGAGCAGGTTACGGTCGAGGTAGAGCGAGTGAAGATACGGCAATTGGAAGATACTTTTGGGCAGTGTGTACATTAAGTTCTTCGTGAGATTCAGCACCTTCAAGTACGGCTGATTGGCGAAGGCTGCCTTGTTAATTTTATAGATGAAATTGTTACCTGGATTAATGTAGGTCAGTTTCTTGTAAGAATGCAGACTTTTATTCGTCAGTACCATTAAATGACTCCCGCTCATATCCAGCATCTAGCAAACAGAGGAGGAAAATCAGATGAGATTGAACGCATACAAGGTGGGCGATTTTAATCGAGTCACGCGAATATTGTTTGAACTATGCATTTTAGAATGCTTCGTACATAAGTTTTATAACTTGGAAGAGAATATAAGATAGTGTCATTAGTTTGACATTGGATAGTCGCTTGAATGTTACATGAAAGTCATTTTGAATTTCTTAAATAAGAGTAGCTAGAGAAATGTGCACTGAAAATAGGGGTTTCCAAAAAGAACTTTTTCTTTAAACGACTATCCAAGGTCAAATATATGATAAAATTTTATATAAAAAATTATATTTAATAGAAACTATTATTTAATAATAATATTTAAAGTTTTATTATACTGTTTTCAATTTATAAATTTTAATTTTTCATATTTAAAAAAAAATGAAAAAATTTTGTGGATTTTTAGAACTCATTACGAATCTTTCTATTTTATGCATTGTAAATAAAATTAAAAAAATAATCACTGTATATGCAGTAAATATTCCTTTATAATAAATAAAAGATACATGACTATTGTTTTTATTACAATTTTAAGTAATATATATTTTTAAACAACAATCTCATCTCTATGTCCGCCTTCAAATCAAACCAAATTTCGTGCAATTTTAAAATTGAGTAATATTTTTAATTCTTAAAACTTAATTTCATAATTATTATCAAAAAATAACACGGAATCTCACGAATTTTTAGAACACGTTATGGGTTCCTCCATTTTATGCGGATTGTATTAAAGAAGATTAAAAAAAAATCCTCGCGATATATGCAGAAAATATTTTTTTATAATGACAAAAACATACATGACAATTATTTTATTGCAATTTTAGGCAAAAAATATTTAAACGACAATCTCACCTGTATGTCCGCCTTCAAATCTATAGGAATTTTTTTTAATTTTTGATTGGAGCATTGAGCTTTCAGTACTGAATTAGCTCTGCTGTAGTTGCACATTGTCGGTGGCGATTTCTGGTCGACAATTTTCGTGGCTTTCGGTGAACCCAGCACCAGAACATCCGGTACCGTGGCCATGATGAAGCACAGTAAGAAGAATCCGTTAATGAGAAAAATGCTCATATCTGCAACAGAATCAGCGGAAACATACGCTTATAAACTTTGCCGCAACCGGATAATTAATCCTTCGCGAAGATGCAATATTTGATATTCTCTTTTTACACCGCCTCATTATCATTTATAATATTTTAGTATTACACAATATATCCCCATCTTTTTCTATTACTTTTTAAATTATATATTTGTTATATAATATGTTATATATTATTTTATATTTCATATATATTTTATTATTTTATATTATCAAGAACAGCAAAAGTAAACGACCAGACTGACTACGATTCAAAAGTTATTGTTGACACATTCAACCGACTATTCTGGTCAAGTGTCTACACTTAATACATCTAAATTAAATACAAAAAATATGACAATTAGTACTAAAAATTGATAGTAAAAAATAAAGTATAAAAATATTACACATATAACGCGATCTAATTGATATGAATTTCCGTAACAATATAATAAATTATCGAACATTATAATTGTCTACCGGCATGCAAGATACAAAATAAACAAAAAGAAATGAAAAGGGAACGGAAATGATCGTGCGCGTATGATATATAAACAGTAGACACTATAGTAGTTATAAAAGCGAAATGATAAAAATGTGTCACATTATCTAGAGAAAATTAGTCAACTTAAATATACCACAGAACTTTACTTTATTACACAGATACGTTAAAATTAAGTTGTGTAATGAGTTGAGAGACGATGTGTGTCAATCGAGAATTCAATACGTATTAAGTTTCCGTGTTGGTATTAAAACAATAACTGTGAACAAGAGAGGTATAGCTGTTTCGGAAAAACTGTATATGATATTAAGAATCAAATCGTATATTGAATTTTCAAATTGTCTGTGCCCTTCTGTAAATTCATGGAGTTTTTATGCATTATTATAAAAACCGTTTCCGCAATATCTCTTTTTATGTAATGCGTTTCTGTAGAATGGAGGGAGATTGCCAGTCAAAATCATAATGGAAAGTTATATATTATACATACAAAAATTAATACGCCAAACAAATTTACTCTTTATTAAATTTTCGAACGTTTCGACCATTTTTCATGGTCATTTTCAATGGAGGTACATTAAAAAGCGAGTTACATTCTTGTCTATATAATATAAATTTATGATTGCAAACGCCAGTTGTATGAAAAAACTAAGTATTACCACTAACAATCGTAAGACACGGAGTAAACAATTTTAAAAAACTGTTGCAAAACAAATCGCTATTGCATCGATAAAAAGCACGCGACGACATTGAGTGATCGGCTTTCGAGAAGTTTATTTGACCGACATCAAAGAAATTAACGCCGACATTTCTTCGTACATATATCGCTGTCAAAGGTATATAATATTGAAAGTGATATAATATTCGTTTAAATACGCAAAGAGTTTATCGAAAAATCCGCACATTCACATAGATTTTTATATAAAAATATGGTAATCATTATATGTACGCAAACACAATATAATAACATTTATAAATTTTTTATAAGTTAACGCGTTTATATTTAATGTAAATATATTAATCTCCGCGGAAGAGTCTTCTACTCTCGTTAAAAGCTGCTTTCTCATTTTTTTTTTCATTAAAAGTTTAATGTAATTTCCAACAATAAGTACCGTTAACAGTCTAATTTATTTTATTCGACATTTCCGGTTTCTAGATGATAATTAATAACGCTTTTGTTGATCATGACGAAAACTGGTCAAAAGGCTATTTGCTGTTGCTGCTCCTAATGCCTTCTGCGCCGCCTACGGTACCGCTTGTACACGCAAAACAACGCCACAAAGACCACGATGAGATACACCGAGATCCACGAGGCGACGTGTATCCAGACCGCTTCAACTTCCTCGGTCTCCATCTTCTGCGGTATCATGGCCGAGCACTCGTTGAACAGCTCGTACGTCCGATTGCTAAATCTCACTTTGGCGCACGCCTTGTGCAGTGCCGGTAAATCGGTGCATTTGTAGAGATCGGGCTTCATCTTGATTTGTCGTAGCTTTACCCAGGCGTTAAAGGCCTGGCAATCACAGCTACCCTCGTTGAATCTAATTCTATTTCCGGTCAGATCAAGCTCCTTCAGCGAGCAGAACGGCGCCAGATCCTCGGTACTGACCCAAGTGATGAAATTGTCGGACACGTTGAGATTAAGGAGAGTCGGCTGGACGCCTATGTTTGGGATCACGGTTAGGAAGTTCTTGGATAGCTGCAGCAGTCTGAGGGGCGAGGTCACCTTCATCTTGAACACGGAATCGGTTAGCCTGTTGTAGTCGAGGTAGAGCGTGCAAAGATACGGCAATTGGAAGAGACTTTTGGGGAGAGTGTAGCAAAGATTTCGCGACAGATCTAGCAACTGCAGGTAAGGCTGATTGGCGAAAGCTGCCTCTTCAATATTAATAATCCAATTGTTACGTAGATAGATGAAGATCAGCTCTTTGTAAGGATGCAGACTGCCGTTCTTCAGTTCGATCAAGTGGTTCTCAATAATATCCAGTACCTAGCAAACAGAGGAGGAACGTCAGGAATGTCATCAGAGATTAAACGTATATAGGGTGGGCGATTTTAATCGATCCACGCGAATATCCTTTAAGCGATGCATTTTAGAATACTTCATATAAAATTTTTTTATTTCGAGGGGAATATAAGATGGTGTCATTGGTTAGACTTTGCATAGTCACTTAAAGATCACATAAAGGTCATCTTCCATTTTTTAAATAAAAGTAGTTATAATACAAATATATGCATTGAAAAATAGAAGTTTTCATTTAAGAAATTAAAGATAACTTTTAAAGGATCATCAAAGGTCAATTATATAATATAAAATTTTATATGGAAACTTAAATTTAACATAAACTTTTATTGAATAATAATATTTAAAGATTTATGATATCGTTTTTAATTTGTAGTTCTTAATTTTCCATATTTAAAGAAAAGTGAAACAAAGTATCGTGGATTTTTACAACTTGTTAATACAAATTCCTCTATTTCATGCGCAAGTTGCAGATAAGATAAAAAAAAATCATTATATATGCAGTAAATATTCTTTTACGATGGAAAAAAAACCTGACTATTTTTTAATATCGATTTTAAATAAGATATATTTTTATACAACTGTCTCATCTTTATACCCGCCATCAAATCTAATTGGATTTCGTGCAATTTTAGATATAAGTAAATTTTATTATATTATATTTAATTCATAAATCTTAATTTTTTTAACTATTATCAAAAAAATGAGACGGAGTCTCACGGATTTTTAAAACACGCTATGAATTTTTTTATTTTATGCAAATTAGAGATAAGAAAAAGATTATAGCGATATATGCAAAAAATATTGTTTTATAATAGCAAAAGCATACCTGACAATTTTTTATTGCAATTTTATGTAAAATATATTTTTATTCATATTTGAAAATCTTACCTGTATGTCTGCTTTCAAATCTAACGGAATTTTGTTCGATTTTAATTTGGAGCACCGCGCTTTCAATATAGAATTAGTTCTACTGTAAGTGCACATAGTCGGTAGCGGATTCTGGTCCATTATTTTCGCGGCTTTTGGTGAACCCAGCACCAGAACATCCGGTATTGTGGCCACGACGAAGCACAGTAAGAAGAATCCGTTAATGAGAAAGATGCTCATATCTGGAAAAGAATCAGCAGAAATGTATACTTATAAACTTTGTTCGAACTATGCCGAAACCGGACAATTAATCGATCGCAAAAGTGCAATATTTGCGACTCCTTTTTTACACCGCAACATTATTATTTATAGTATATTAATATCACGGAATATCTCTCCATCTCTCTCTATTACATTTTAAATTATATATTTGTTATATGATATGTTATTTATTATTCTATATTTTATATATATATTATTATTATATATTATCAAGGACAGCAAAAGTAGACGACCAGACTGGTTACAATTCAGATGTTTATTGTTGACACATTAGACCGACAATTTCGGTCAAGTGTCTACAATTAATATATCTATTAAATACACAATTAAATACACAAAATATGACACTTAATAATAAAAATTGATAGTAAAAAATAAAGTTTTAATACATGATTACGATATTAGACATATATGCCGATAAATCTAGACGTGTGTGGTATAAACATTACAATCAATCTAATTAAAAATGATATGAATTTCCGTGACAATATAATAAAGTATCAAGCATTGAAACTGTATACCGGTATGCAAGATACAAATTAAACGAAAAGGAAGAAAAAGAGAGCGAACATGGTTGTGCGCGTATGACAAAAATAAATAAAGAGTAGGACCTACAGTAGTTATAAAAGCGAAATGATAAAAATGTGTCACATTACCTAGAGAAAATTAGTCAACTTAAACACACCACAGAACTTTACTTTATTACACAGGTACGTTGAAATTAAGTCGTGTGGTGAGTCGAGAGACGATATGTGTCGATCGAGAATTCAATACGTACTAAATTCTCTGTGTTGGTATCAAAACAGTAGCGGTGACCTAGAGAGGTATATTATTTCAGAAGAAGCGTATATGATATTAAGAATGGAATCGTATATTAAATTTAATTTGTCTGTGTCTTTTTTTAAATTTATGGAAGCTTTATACATTTTTATAAAAATCATTTCCACAATATTTCTTCTTTTGTAATGCGTTTGTGTAGAATGGAGGAAGGTTGCCAATTTAATCACGCTTGAAAATTATATATTATACATACAGAAATCAGTGCGCAAAACAAATTTACTCTTTATTCAATTTTCGAACGTTTCGACCATTTTCTGTAATCATATTCAGTGTATAATAAAAAACGACTTAAATTCTTATTGATATAAATTTATGGTTGCAAACGCCAGTTGTACGAAAAAATTAAGTATCGCCGCTAACAATTGTAAGACACGGAGTCAATAATTTTAAAAAACTGTTGTAAAACAAATCGCTATTACATCGATAAAAAGCACGCGACGATATTGAGCGATCGGCTTTCGAGGAGTTTATTTGACCGATATCAAAGAATTTAACGCCGACATTTCTTCGTGCATATATCGCTGTCAAAAGTATGTAATATTGAGAGTGATATTTTTTGTTTAAATACGCAAAGAATTTTTCTAAAATTCCGCACATTCACATAGATTTTATATAAAATTATCGTAACCATTATGTACGCGAACACGATATAATAACATTTATAAATTTTTATATATTAACGCGTTTATATTTGATGTAAATATATTAATCTCCCCGGAAGAGTCTTCTTCACCGATTATTTTCTTTAAAACCTGATTTCTCATTTTTTTTTTCTTTTTTTTTTATTCAAAGTCTAAAGTAATTTCCAACAATAAGTACCATTAACAGTCTAACTTATTTTATTCGACATTTCCGGTTTCTAGATGATAATTAATAACGCTTTTGTTGATCATGACGAAAACTGTTCAAAAGGTTATTAGCTGTTGCTGTTTCTAATGCCTTCTGCGCCGCTTACAGTACCGCTTGTACACGCAAAACAACGCCACAAGGACCACGATGAGGTACACCGAAATGCAGGAGGCGACGTGTATCCAGACAGATCGAGGCTTCTCGGTTTTTATCTTTTGTTGTATCATAGCCAAGCACTCGTTGAACAGCTCGTACGTCCGATTGCTGAATCTCACGTTGGCGCACGCCTTGTGCATTGCCGGTGAATCGGTGCATTTGTAGAGATCGGGCTTTATTTTGATTTGTCGTAGCTTTACCCAGGCGTTGAACGCCTGGCAATCACAGCTACCCTCGTTAAATCTGATTTTATTTCCGGTCATATCGAGTACCTTCAGCGAGCAGAACGGCGCTAGATTTTCGGTGCTGACCCAGGTGATGAAGTTGTCGGACACGTTGAGATTAAGGAGAGTCGGCTGGACGCCTATGTTCGGGATCACGTGTAGGGAGTTCTTGGATAGCTGCAGCAGTCTGAGAGGCGAGGTCACCTTCATCTTAAACACAATATCGGTAAGCCTGTTGTGGTCAAGGTAGAGCGTGCGAAGATACGGCAATTGGAAGAGACTTTTGGGCAGATTGAAGATATAGTTGAACGACAGATCCAGCATCTGCAGGTAAGGCTGATTGGCGAAAACTGTCTCTTCAATGTTAATAATCCAATTGTTACGTAAATAGATGAAGATCAGCTTTTTGTAAGGATGCAGACTGTCGTTCTTCAGTTCGATCAAGTGATTCCCGATAATATCCAGTACCTAGCAAACAGAGGAGGAACGTCAGGAGTGTCATCAGAGATTAAACGTATATAGGGTGGGCGATTTTAATCGATCCACGCGAATATCATTTGAGCAATGCATTTTAGAATGCTTCATACAAATTTTTTTATATTTTGAGGGAAATATAAGATGGTGTCTATGATTTGATTTTGCATAGTCACTTAAAGATCACATTAAGATCATCTTCCATTTCTTAAATGGAAGTAATTACAAATATATGCATTGAAAAATAGGAGTTTTTATTTAAGAAATTGAAGATAACCTTTAAAGGACCATCGAAGGTCAATTATATGATATAAAATTTTATATGGAAACTTAAATTTAACATAAACTTTTATTGAATAATAATATTTAAAGATTTATGATATTGTTTTTAATTTGTAATTATTAATTTTCCATATTTAAAGAAAAGTGAAACAAAGTTTCGTGGATTTTAAGAACTCGTTAATACAAATTTCTCTATTTCATGCGCGAGTTGTAGATAAGATAAAAAAAGTCATTATATATGCAGTAAATATTCTTTTATAATGGAAAAAAACACATGACTATTTTTTAATATCAATTTTAAATAAAATATATGTCTTTCTATACAACAGTCTGATCTTTATGTCCGCCATCAAATCTAATTGGATTTCGTGCAATTTTAGATATAAATAAATTTTATTATATTATATTTAATTCGTAAATTTTAATTTTTTTAACTATTGTCAAAAAAGTAAAACGAAGTCTTACGGATTTTTAGAACACGCTATGAATTCCTGTATTTTATGCAAATTAGAGATAAGATAAAGAAAAGATTATAGCGATATATGCAAAAAATATTTTTTATAATAGCAAAAGCATACCTGACAATTTTTTATTGCGATTTTATGTAAAATATATTTTATTCATATTTGAAAATCTTACCTGTATGTCCGTCTTCAAATCTAACGGAATTTCGTTCGACTTTAATTTGGAGCACCGCGCTTTCAATATTGAATTAGTTTTACTGTAGGTGCACATAGTCGGTAGCGGATTCTGGTCCATTATTTTCGCGGCTTGCGGTGAACCCAGTACCAGAACATCCTGTACTGTGGCCACGACGAAGCACAGTAAGAAGAATCTATTCATGAGAAAGATGCTCATATCTGGAAAAATATCAGTAGAAATGTATGCTTATAAACTTTGCCGAAACCGGATAATTAATCGGTCGCAAAAGTGCAATATTTGCGATTCCCTTTTTACACCGCAACATTATCATTTATAGTATATTAATATCACGGAATATCTCTTCATCTCTCTTTATCACTTTTTAAATTATATATTTGTCATATAATATGTGCTATATTATTTTATATTTTATATATATTTTATTATTATACATATATTATCAAAGACACTGAAAGTAAACGACCAGACTAATTACAATTCAGATGTTTATTGTTAACACATTCGACCGACAATTTCGGTCAAGTGTCTACAATTAATATATCTAAATTAAATACACAAAATATGACACTTACTAATAAAAATTGATAGTAAAAAATAAAGTTTTAATACAGGACTACGATATTACACATATATGCCGATAAATCTAGACGTGTGTGGTATAAACATTACAATCAATCTAATTAAAAATGATATGAATTTCCGTGACAATATAATAAAGTATCAAGCATTGAAATTGTATACCGGTTAGCAAAATACAAATTAAACGAAAAAGAAGGACAAGAAAGCGAAAATGGTTGTGCGCGTATGACAAAAATAAATAAAGAGTAGGACCTACAGTAGTTATAAAAGCGAAATGATAAAAATGTGTCACATTACCTAGAGAAAATTAGTCAACTTAAACACAGAACTTTACTTTATTACACATGTACGTTGAAATTAAGTCGTGTGGTGAGTCGAGAGACGATGTGTATCGATCGAGAATTCAATACGTACTAAATTCTCAGTGTTGGTATCAAAACAGTAGCGATGACCTAGAGAGGTATAATATTTCAGAAGAAGCGTATATGATATTAAGAATCGAATCGTATATTAAATTTAAATTGTCTGTGTCTTTTTTTAAATTTATAGAAACTTTATACATTTTTATGAAAATTATTTCCACAATATCTCTTCTCTTGTAATGCGTTTTTTTAGAATAAAAGAAGGTTGCCAGTTTAATCACGCTTGAAAATTATATATTATACATACAGAAATCAGTGCGCAAAACAAATTTACTTTTCATTCAATTTTTGAATGTTTCGACCATTTTTTGTGGTCATATTCAGTGTATAATAAAAAGCGACTTAAATTCTTATCGATATAAATTTATGGTTGCAAACTCTAGTTGTACAAAAAAATTAAGTCTTACCGCTAACAATCGTAAGACACGGAATCAATAATTTTAAAAATTTTTGCAAAATAGATCGCTATTATTCGATAAAAAGCACGCGACGACATTGATCGATTGGCTTTATTGAGAAGTTCATATGACCGGCATCGAAGAATTAACGCCGAAATTTTTTCTACATATGTATATCGCCGCTAAGAGTATAGTATAATGATTGTTCAAGCACGCAGAGAGTTTCTGGAAAATTCCGCCACATTCACATAAATTCTTATATAAAAATATCATAATTATTTAATACGCAAACACAATATAATAGCATTCATAAATTTTTCTTATAAGTTATCGCGTTTATATCATATTAATCTTTGCGGAACTGTCTTCTTCATTGATTACTTTCGTTGAAGTATGAAGAATTGAACATTGTGCAATGTGTATTAATAATAATCAAATACAAACTTAGGCACGCAAATATATATCCGATTAAATTCTCTGTGAATTCTCAGTCAATTAAACTCTTTCAATAAACACAAACACTTCTTGTTCTTTTTTACTTATATATTGTATATTATGGCACTTTTTTATATATTGGCACCAAACACAGGGTCGACCGTAATAAATTGTTAAACGGGTATTTAAGCGTCTATGCAAAAATATCATTAGAAACAGATTTTCCAGACCTTGTTTTCAGATGAATAACTTTTTTTCTATAATAAGAGATCCTAAGACATACCGCTATGCTAATAATTTTGAAATTAGATGTCAAAGAAGCCAAAATGGGCCTTTGTCCAAATATATGTGCGTATATATGTAAATATCTTGTTAAACGAAACTATTCCGGGCTCTGTTAATTAACAAATAAATTTTTTTCTGTCGTAAATAATTTAAGAGTATGCAACCTTACTCGGAAAATTCTATTCTCGCGCAAAATTCTACTCTCGCATATTGTCGACGCCAGAAACAGCTCTTTTAACAGGATTCTACGTTCTATCAGCGATTATTTCACTAATCATCGTCAGGTTGCTGTTGGAATAATTGTGTGTTGTCGTAGATCGCCATTAGCTGTTCCTTCTGCTTTATGTGCCGCCTACGGTATCGCTTGTGCACGAACAACGCTAGGAAAAGGAACACCAAGACGCACGGGGCGACGCTTATCCAGATCCAATCGAGGCTTCTCGGTCTCCATCTTCTGCTGTGTCATTGCCAAGCACTCGTTGAACAAGTTGTGCGTCCGATTGCTGAATCTCACGTTGGCGCAGTCCTCGTTCAGAGCTGCTGGTGGATCGGTGCATTTGTAGAGATCGGGCTTCATCTTGATTTGTCGTAGCTTCACCCAGGCGTTGAACGTCTGACAATCACAGCTGCTCGCGTTGAATCTGATTTTATTTCCGGTCAGATCAAGCTCTTTTAGCGAGCAGAAGGGCGCCAGATCCTCGGTGCTGATCGAGGTGATTATGTTGTAAGACACGTCGAGATGAAAGAGGGTCGGCTGGATGCCTATGTTCGGGATCACGGTGAGCAAATTCTTGCTCAGCTCCAGCAGTCTGAGGGGCGAAGTGACCTTCACTTTGAACGCCAAATCGATAAGTCTGTTGTTGCCGAGACAGAGCGTGCGAAGATGTGGCAATTGGAAGAGACTTTTGGGCAGTTTGAAGCAATAGTTGTGCGACAGATCCAGCACCTGCAAATAAGGCTGATTGGCGAAAGCTGCTTTTTCGATTATTTGAATGGTATTCTTATGTAAATAAATGAAGGCCAGTTTTTTGTAAGAATGCAGACTGTCGTTACTCAATACGTGTATTTGAGTCCAGGTAATATTCAGCACCTAACAAATAAAGGAGGAACATCAGGAGTATTATCAGAGATGATACGTATACAGAGTTGGCGATTTTAATATATCCACACGAATATCTTTTGAGCAATGCATTCTAGAATGCTTTATACACAAGTTTTTTTACTTTGAGAAGAAGATTCGAATAAATTTTATTATAATATTATTTATAACTTATAAATCATAATTTCATAATAATTGTAAAAAAAACAGTGCCTTACGGATTTTTAGAATTAGTTATGAATTTCTCTATTTTATGCGAATTGCAGATAAGATAAATAAAATTGTCACTCTATATGCGGTAAATATTGCTTTATAATGAAAAAAAATATATGACTGTTTTTTCTTACAATTTTGAGTAAAATATATTTAAAATAGAATCTTACCTGTATGTTCGGATTCAAATATAAAGGGATTTTGTACGCGTCCAATCTGAAGCATTGAGCTTCCAATATCGAATTAGATCTGATGTAGTGGCACGTATTCGGAAGCGGATCCTGATCCATTATTTCCGCGGATTCCGATGAATCCATGAAGACATCCGGTACTAAAGCTACGGCGAAGCCCAGTAAAAGAAACCCGTTGAAGAGAAAGATTCTCATATCTGCAACAGAATCAGCGCAAACGTACGCTTATAAACTTTGCCCAAATTTTTCTGCAATCAAGTAATTGATCGCTCGCGAAGGTACAATTTGGGATTCCCTCTTTATAACGCCACATTATCTTTTTTGGTATTTTAGTATCACGCAATATCTCTTCATCTTTCTTTATATATTACATCTTAAATTATATAATTTGTAATAAAATATATTATATATTATTTGATATTTTGATTTTTAAACTTCTTAAATAAATTTAATCTTAAATAATTTTTAGACTTCTTTTTATGCAAACTTTAAATTTGCAAATAACTGCAAATTAATACAAATGACAGCTGCTCAAGACATGAACTGAGCACATTGAAAGAACCAATCGGCATCACGAAAAAACGGCAACAATTAAAGCGTCACATGCCTTTTTTTAAATAGGATGTGTCCATCAAGTAAAAAAACAAAAAAGTTTATATATAGAAAAACTTACCTTTAAGCATTGCTCTGAAATTACCTCTGAAATTGCTTGCACGTGCAACTAAAATTCTCGACGTCTAGCTAATAGTTACGTTTTTCAAAGTTATTAAAATAATCTCGGTAAGCAAATCCTTTATCGTAACTATTATTTATGCGACAAAAATATATATAATAAACACAAATACAATATAAAAACAACTTGCAATTTGAGTTTTTCTTAATGACTCGATTGATTTTCTATGCACTAACACACGAGGCTTAGTGTATCGTGGACAGCCATAAACTGAGAATGACCAAATGCCTCATAAAGTGGTAGGGACAAAGGAAAAGATAAAATAAATATTTCTTTTATCTTCTATTCCTGTTTTCACAACGATACTACTTCGGCCGTACCCTGGAAATTTTTGGTCTAGCTTTTTTATTAGTGGGAAAAATTTATTTTCTTTTGTGTAATTTTCAGGTCTCGTTCAATTGTTTGCATTATATTATAGACTATGAATTATCTGCGTCATAAGCAATTTTTGCTTGCACCTAAGTTATTTCTATTACAACTTCATGAATTCTTTTTCCTTAATATTATTTTAGAATTGTATCTATTTCTGCAACAAAATCTAGTTATCTCTAAAATTTCTCAAAATTATCTTTTTATGTGTTTTTGATAATGTTCATAACCATAAAATTGCATACTAAAAATCATATTTGTTCTGTTCATAAAATTTGAAATGTACAATATATTAAGTACGACAGTTTCTCACAACAAAACATTTAATTGATATCATGAAATACAAGCAGCAATTATTTTCGAGACTTTACAGTAATGTTTTAATTTTGTAAGTGAATACATAAGTTTGCGTGTGTAAATATTTAAAAATAATTTTATTATTATTAATGCATATTTTTTTAGAAATCCTATTTTAATGTTATATTTTGTTCTGTTGAGAGATATATATTTTCATCGATAAGAGAAAAAAACGTACCAAGTTGTGACTAATGTACATCTAATAGACATTCATCGAATGTCCGATAAGTGGTAGGGACAAAGAAAAAAGATAAAATAAATATTTTTTATCTTTTACTCGTGTTTCCGCAACGATACTTCTTTGGCCGTACTCTGGGATTTTTGGTCTAACTTCTTTATTAGTGGGAAAAAATTCATTTTCTTTTGTGTAATTTTCAGGTCTCGTTCAATTGTTTGCATTATATTATAGACTATGAATTATCTGCGTCATAAAATAAAAGCAATTTTTGCTTGCACCTAAGTTATTTCTATTACAACTTTATGAATTCTTTTTTCTTAATATTAATTTAGAATTGTTTCTATTTCTGCAACAAAATCTAGTTATCTCTAAAATTTTTCAAAATTATCTTTTTATGTGTTTTTGATAATGTTCATAACCATAATAATTGCATACTAAAAATTACATTTGTTCTGTTCATAAAATTTGAAATGTACAATATATTAAGTATGACAGTTTCTCACAGCAAAACATTTAATCGATATGAAATATAAGCAGCAATTATTTTCGAGACTTTAAAGTAATGTTTTAATTTTTGTAAATGAATACATAAGTTTGTGTGTGTAAATATTTAAAAATAATTTTATCATTATCAATGCATATTTTTTTTAAATTTTATTTTGTTTGATTTGTGTCATTTGTCAGAGATTGGACCGCTCTACATATATTTATTTTGTGTGTCATATTAAAAGAATTCTATATCTTTTACAATATAATAACGATATAGTAACGATAAAAAAACATATACTCATGTATATATGTGTAATGTAAATGTTCCAAGCTATATAATATACACTTTAACGTATATTGTAGTCGGTTTTCCGATATATTAATTTAATATAACTAAATCACAGAGCCAAACATGCATAAATTAAATATTTTTCGCAGATTTTTGAAACCAGACAGATTGTTAGAATATTAATTGGAAACTATGTCTTTTGGTTTGAGACAAACAGTTCCTGATAATTTTGTTATTTTGGTTATTATAATAATAACCAAATGCTTTCGGAAAAAGGGGGGAAAATAAGAAAAAAGATGTAATATATATTTTTTTATTAAAAAATGTATTTTTATATTAGATGAAAGTTATTGATATATAAAAAAGTTATTTTTAAATATTAATATATAATATTAAGTTTTAAAAAATTAATAGTGTCTTATTAAATGGTTGTTCTTTCTGTACCAAAGTTTATTGTATAAAAGTAATATAAAAACTACATATTATTTTGTACTAACAATAAATGTTTTTAAA